GTCCTAACATGGAATTTTCTTGAAGACTGACATGCTTCGCTGACAAACCAAACCGGAAGTGTGTTGAGGTGATTGCTCTTGTTACTCTTTGTCCGCTTTGGGACAGCAGCAGGAGCAGCATCTCAGACAAGGGAACAACCTAATAATGGAAGAATTTGAAGGTAACGTAAGTCGATTCCCGGTTTGTTTATGTGTGGATGGTTTGGGGACAAAGATGGACTCATAGTTCATATGTTGTAATCCACCAAAACTACAATTAAATGTATCGTTTCCGCGTATGTTGTATATGTTTTTTGATAGCGACCCGTTTTTGTTTGGAATTTAGCCAGACTGCTAGGTAACGTCAGGGCCAAGTATGAAGCTAGCTGCTGCTGACCGTTTGAATGGGTGTGATAATGTAGCTACAGTTAACTAGTGTTAGCATTCTGGCTAACCAAAGTACACAGAAATGCTTAAAGAAGCTCTCGCATAGCGGTATGATTCGGTTTAAAAGTGAATTGTCTCAAATTGATCCAAATTTGAACATTTAGTTTAGCTATTGCTTTTTTTTTTTAATTAGCTAGCAAATTTCAGACACGAATGTGTTTAAATACACGGATTAACTCATTTTGTCAACAGGATTTCCTAAAATTAAACTCACTGAGGCTAAAGTATTTACCCTTTAGTATTAAATAATAATAATAATAATAATAATAATAATAATAATAATAGACTAGGTTTGTTTATCTAGCAGACTATCATTAAGTTACAAGTTAGGTTTAGTTTATTTCTGAACTCCTTCACATTTTAAATTCCATCTTTATTCTAATATAATCTGTTATTCTTGCAGACATTGAAGCACCTCCTGGTGACGATTTGCGTCAATGCAACACCTGCAAAAGAAGTTTTTTCCCTAAAGCCCTGGTAACAAATGAACTCTTCCATAATTTCAAACATTGTTAACTTTAGAAGGGAATAATATTAAGAAGGATGATAACAGTGTAGCCAAGCGTTGTGGCTAATCTTCACTGGTTGAAAATTGCTGGGATGACCACATTTCCGCCAGGTTTAATCAGCTGATGGTGTATCAGCTGCTGGGATTTATGTAGCCAACAAGAACAGCTTTGTGAAAAGAAACGATGGGAGGTTTTACCAAAGAAGAAAATCTATTTTTTTGGCTAAATTTTTTTCGACTGAAGGCTACAAAGTCTGACTCTTAAGACTTTCTGTTGAGCATTACTATCGCAATGAAGTGAGACAAAGTTCAAAGGATTTGCAGCTTTTATTGGGGTTCTTTGATGGCTTTCATTAGGAGATTCTCTTTTAGATTGTAACACTTTATATGATTCCTCATAAAATAAAATCTATAATTATCTCAGCTTGTTTTTAAATATGCAGCGTTTATATGCAGGCTTGGAAAGTATGGGGGAAAGAAAGTAAACAGGGTTAAACAAACGTGCTTATGTATTTCATAGATTTACAAATCAACCCCAAACATACTGTGTTGTGTTAGTTTTAATGTTTATTTTTCCAACAGGAGAGGCATTCTAAAATTTGTCAGAAGTCAGCAGCTAAACGGAGGAGGGTTTTTGACTCGAGCCGACAGAGAGCCGAGGGAACGGACATCTCTACGCTAAAACCTATCAAACCAAAGGTGAGTTAGGTAAAAGCTCAGGAGGGAGGCCAAAATATCTTCAAGGGCATTCAGCTGGACATGACTTTATGATTTTTCACACTATTTCTGATGTTATATTTTGCATTTAGGATGCTGCATCAAAAGGTTTCTCCAGTATTTTTCATTTTGATCAGTTTAGTAGTAAAACTGATCTGTTTATCTTTATTTCTTCCAAATTATTCATCGTTTACCCATGTCAAACACCTTAACACGATGTCTAATGGTGCGTTCACACCGAACGTGATTTCAGCATCAGGAGCCTCAGGTTTACATGCAAAGTCTATGGTGGACACGCTTCAATCAACGTCAGGAAGTGCTGCGGCGCCTCAAGCGCGATTAGAGCAGAGCGATTTGAACGATCTGAGCGTTCGATGCGCTGAGGCGCAAATAGCTGAAGTTAGAAAATCTGAACTTTTGCAGCTCGTCACGCCGCATYWACCAATCAGAGAGACTCCACTGTGTGACGTAGCGACATATTTCCCGACGGGACAGTTTACCGAATGATGTCCACTAACCTGAAACAGACGGAGAGGAGCTCTTTAGCTGAAATCCAGTGCCTGCAGTCGGTGTCCTGACAGGAGATATCCACACCAATGCGTGGCAGCGACTCATCAG